TAATCCTGTTTAATGATTTAAGTCATCTGGGTGTCCCATCACTAATCAGGGGCATCCCAGTAATTTCTTGTACCTTGTACTATATTCATCTATAAATAAAGGACTGGTCAACTGGCTAGTACAGTTCGACATTCTCTTCAGTTCTGTGGTTTTCTTCTCTTCCTTGCTACTTCGAGTATAGCTCTTCAGATTACAAAAAGAATTGTCTTTAAGAGTGAGAACTTGGTGTTGGAAAGGGATGTTTGATAATTAGGAAGCAATGTTAAACTCCTATCACCTTCTTGGCTAGTACAGGCAATAACCGAGATGAGACTAATATATACTGTAATGATGTGTAGTTTCATATTTTTGTAGTGCAGTTCTGGTCTTGTTCAATGAGAGCACTTCAATATTTTGCTGTCAAGAGGTGTTTAAGTGAGACAAATAAAAGTAATTTCCAAATATTTGATTAATGGAGCCTGCACACCTCGAAAATAAGGCAGTGGATGGTGATTCTCCCCATAATCATTAGAATTGAATATGAAAGGATCCGAGTGGTACTCTAAGCAGATCTTCTCCCCCACCCCAGTTTTTCCAGTTTTAGGTATAACCAACATGTCTCATCATTTTGATTGAGTGCAGGTTTTCTGCTGTGGTAGCATCCCCAGGGTATGTTGGTCATTCAACATGACATATTACATATAGAGGATATTTCAGTAATAAAGTATCTACAAGTGTAATGACTAAAATGACCTGCGGATATTGCTTGAGCCAATGAAATGTCCTTCAGCACCTTTTTTTTTATGTGTTTGTGTGTGCTGAAGTCTCAGCACTGTGGATCCATACTCATTTTGGTCAACATAACCAGCTGGTTTGTCTAGCCACTCTAACCTTCAGGGAAATCCAAATCCAAGATTGAGGATAGGGCTGGCAATGGGTCGGGACAGGGTATCTTGTCCCTAACTGATTATTAATTGGGACAAAATCATAGACCCAGAAATATCCCAATTAATGATCAGGATAATCGAGTCTGACCCTATAGACCCAACTATACTGATATGATAGTATTACCTATCAAGTGTTTTTAACTAAAAGTATTTTATATATTATCTATCAAATTTGCCCTTTTAGACAAAATATAATTAAAATTATAAGAAAGCTAGAAAAGATTTATACATTGTTAAAAAAATAATTGGTTTGGAGCAAGCGAGAACCAGAACTGACCCACTTATTAGTCGGGACAAAATCCCAGAACCAGAACTGACATAATTAGTTCAGTTGGTTCAGCTCTGTTGGGTAGACCCAACCCATTGATAGCCCTACTTGAGAAGCTGGTTAATGGGATTTGGCTGGTTGGGATGTGTGTGTTTTATGTTGCGCCAATAATAGAAAATAATCTAGACTTGTTATACCCATAAATATGAATCTATATAAATCAAGTATTGAAAAGAATCTGTTGTACTAATTAAACTTCTTGCTGTCTTAGGAGCCATAAAATTTGCTCGGTCAGAAGGTCTGATACCAGCACCAGAACCAACTCATGCTATAGCTGCCACCATCAGGGAAGCTTGCCACTGTAGAGAGACTGGAGAAGAAAAAGTTATTCTCATGGCTATGTGTGGCCATGGTCACTTTGATCTGCCAGCTTATGAGAAGTATTTGCAAGGAAAAATGGTCGATTTGTCATTTGAAGATGAAAAGATGCATGCATCGCTGGCCAAAGTTCCTCAAATTGCCTAAACTGAAGCCTCATGACTTGGGATGGGAACTGGTATCATCATCATCATCCAAGACTTACCCCAGAAGATCCTCTTTTACTACTTCATTTATGTCCTTTTTTGAGTGGGAACTAGTATAGATGTAATAATCTTCTACTGTGGAGCAACAGATAGGAGAGATCTGTCCTAAGAGGCAGGGTAACATAAATGTTACCTTATGTTGTTGTTGTTGATGTTTTAGCAACCACCCACTGTAAATCTCTCAGGAAACTCTTAGCACCTTCCCTCCCCCTTCAATGATAGGTAGTCATTTCAAGGCTCAGTGGCTGACTGCTGAGAGCCCGAGAGTAGCAGTGACGGGATTCAAGAAGTTGGTGGATATGTGGGGGCGGCAAGAGCTGCAGTTAAGGGAACAAATAACATGAAAAACATAGTGCATCTGCTCTAACCATCATATCATTTTTCTTGTCCAACCATATACGAACATTATTTTTTTTTTTTTTGTAGTGAGAATTTAATTTGCATTAATACAAATGGATGGGAGTACAAGCGTGAAAATTACAATGTTTAGTTCATCTTACTTCAGATTTTATTTTAGTTTGCTTTAAGTTTCATTTTCCTCCATCTGCCCTGCAAGTAAACAAAACAAACTAAAGTTTTGACTCTATTCATTTGCATTCCCATACTTCTGCACCAGTGCAAATGAAATTGCACTGCAAACAAAAAGCCTCGAACCAATCCAAGAGCAAATCACCCAATGTTAACAAAATAGCTATGTTTGGAGGGAAAAAAAAAAAAAAAAGCGATGTCTAAATCTCTAAATGAAGAAATATCTTATTTTTTGGACAAGATTATCTTTAACATTAGTGTTCTTTGAATTGCCGATAAGAAAAGAGCGTTTGAGAATAGATGCCTATATCTGTAAATGAAAAAAAATAATAATAATCTTATTTTTTGGACAAAATTATCCTCGTAAAAAAAAAAAAAAAAAAAAAGCAAAGGCTGAGCGATGGTGGTGTATCCTTATGGCAAATCGTAGTACAATGCTATAATTTGAAAAAACTTTCATCCTTAATTTGAGATTTGAGGAGTGAAAATAAATGCAACCTAATTATGCTTCTTTTGGTGGAGGGGAAAGGCTTGGCTGTTTGAGTGCTTCTGATGTGGTATTAGAGTAATTTAACCAATATTTCTCTAGTTAAAAAAAGAAGAAGACAAACATGGGACTTAATGAGTTAAGGTATCATGTTGAAAGCAAGGTTCAAAAACTTGTTACATATCGTACCTATGTATCGGGAGCACCCTGATACGCCCCTACAGATGGTGTATTGGGGTTTTGACCGACTCAGGGGGTGGAGGAACTTTAAACTGGTTCCCTAAACCAGAATTGAAAAAGAAAAGTTAAAAATAAAATAAAAAAGCAGTACCGATACTGTCTGATACGCCCCTACGGGCGGGCGTATCAATATTTAGAACTTTAGTTGAAAGAACTTAAAAAACAAAAAAAAAAGCCTAGGCTGTTTGTATTTCTTATCATTATTGTTGAAACATGAAATTTATATCGAAAGTATTGACTAACATGTTATGGAGGGTAGGGGTGTAAACGGATCGAATTTGAATCGAATCAGGCAATATCCGAATCCGATTAAATATTCGAATATTCGATTCAAATTCGATTAATTAATTGTTTTAGATAATTAATAAATATATAAAATAAATATTTTATTGATATAAAGTATATAAATATATAACTTATTTATTATATATAAAATATTTTATATATTATATATAAGAATTAAATAATCGATCAAATTCGGATATTTATCGAATCGAATCAGGTTATATTTGAATTTGAATCCGATTAAGTATTCAGTAAAAATAGGATATCCAAATTCGACTGATTAGATATTCGAATTATTGGAGGGAGAACCCTGTAGATATACGTTGTGGAAGATATACAACCAAATCTTTTCCTTTTCCAAGAGAACCCATGTAGCCATAAGTTTTTTTTTTTTTTTTTTTGATGATGTTGTTCTTTTTATATGCTTCCTATCAGTCTCTTCCTTTCGAGAATGTAAAATTGGTGTATTATGGAATATGTTTTTTTAACAAAATTAGTCGTGGCACGATAAAGGTAAAATTGGTGTATTATGAATTTAGAAATCATACATTTTAGGGAAATTTACACGAGAGGTAGCCTTTACTTTGAGAGTAGTGACACTTCATTAAAAAAAAAGAGTAGTGACACTTGAGGGCCTCACCTTTCACTTGCAAACAATGAGGTACCCTATACTTTCAGAAATCAACATTCAGGTCCAAGTCAATTAACTTACTTTATGCTTAAGGGTGTCAATGGACCGGTTTTGGGTTGGACCCCATCTAGTCCAAAATATTTATTAGATTGGATTGGACAAATTTATATTGGATTAGGTTGGATTAAGCCACTATCTGGTCCGTTGATATATATATATAAGATAAGAATATATGTTTTAATGGACCTGGTTTGGGTTGAAACCAATCTAAATCAAAATGAATTTGAGCAGATTGGACAGTCCAGAATTGGATCGGTCTAAATTGGTCCAAAACATTCATTAGATTGGATTGGACCTGGTCCATTTATAATGGACTCACATTGGAGTGGATCGGATTGGACCAAATCTAGTCCAATTGACACCCCTAGTTATGCTGAATGGTAATTTTACCCAAATGCCCATTAATGGTTTGCATAATTAAGAGAATAAAATTGTGAAATGACAAAAATGTATATCATTAAAGCTCCATTTGGAAAGAGTACAAATACAAATATGTACAGTACAAATATATACAAAATAATACAAAATACAAGGTTTTGCACTCTACAAATTTGTATTTATAGCCTTCTCCACAAATTTGTATTTGTACTCCTTCCAAACTAAGCCTAATGTGCAAATCACTGTATTGCTTCAATGTCCTATTCATCCAAATTTGAGAAATAAAATGGAAAATAAAGTGTTAAGAACCAGGGTTTTAGAGACTCAACAAAAAAAGGTGCACATGACATTGTGTGCTCCTGATAAGGCTGATAATTGATAGAATGTTATCGGGTTTGACTTGAGTGTTGATTTTTTAAATTACAAGGCACCTCGTTGTTTCAAGTGAAAAATGAGGCTAAGGTTTTAAAGGCTAAATGCGTAGTTGAGGTGTAAATTGTAATGGCCCAAATACGTGAGGCGTAAGCCTCAAAGCTTAAGAATAAAATAATTAAAATCGGCAAAACAACATATAATATAAGAAATTAGAATGATATGGGTATAAATAAGATAAAAGTTTATAAGCAATAAGTTTCAGCATTTAAGTATTAAATAAAATATTAACTAATCAAATAGCAACTATAAGAATTCTACATTTCCATGTTTAAAAAATGCAAAGTTCTCAAATAATTCAAATGGCTAATTTAGAAGTAAGGAAACATATGAAAAATAATCCATGTGATTGGATATTAGATTTATGGTCATTCAATAGTTTAGAATAAAGAAAAAACCTAGTTAGTTTCATCTATGCAAAAAGATCAATAAAAAGAAAATAAATCCATTAGGACATGAAATGAAGAAAATAACAAACTTAAAATGTTAGATTTCAAATAACAAGAAAAAAAAATCTCACTTGATATATCCAAGAGAAACTAATAACTTATTTTTTCCCTACTTCTTTTTTCATTTGTACTCTTTTTTTTGACCCATATTTATTTAAGTGCTTCTTCCATATATTTCTTATATTTTATTTTTGTTTATTATTTTAAAATTAATTTATTATTATTTAATAATTATTATGTTAGTATTTTATTATTATTTTAATTATATTATATTGAAATTTTATTTTTACTTAATTATTATGTTTATTGTTTAATAAATAACACCATTGCTTTTTATTAATATTTTATCATAGTTCTATTATTTTACTAATAGGTCATTATTATTTTAATTATTATTGTATTCTTATTTTATTACTATTATTGTATTATTACTTTCACAATGTTTTATTATTTAATTATTAATGTTTTATTATTAGTTAATGAGTTGTTTATTAATATTGTATTGCTATTATTATTAAGGAAAATTCCACTTTAGTACCCTGAACTATGGGAGTAGTGTCAAGTTAGTACCCGAACTTTCAAGCGTGTCATTACAATACCTAAACTTTCAAAAAGTGTCAAGTTGGTCCTTACCATTAACCAACAGTCAGTTATCTGTTGAAAATGTCAAAACTACCATTCAAGAGAAGATATTGTTCATTATCTTCTACCTTGAGATTGAACCAACTATTTTCAAAGAAAAAGAGAGAAAAAACATGAAATATGATAGAGGGAAACAATGACTAAAAGAAAATAAATAACTAGGTAATAATGTGTTTTAGATCTTAAGGTAGAATACAATGACTTCATTAGTCTATAATTTCAAACACCTCAACCTGTTCAGTCTCAAGGTAGAAGACAATGAACAATGTCTTCTTTTGAAGGGTAGTTTTGATATTTTCAGTAGATAAGTGACGATTGGTCAAGGTTTTTAAAAACAAATCGGAAACAGAACAGGTCAGGGGACGGGTTTCCGATTAAGCAGTTCAACCATTCGGGTCAAATGGTTTGACTTGTGATGTCATAAATAAATTAAAATAAAAAATAGTATAAATAAAATTATCTAAATACAAAAATAACAAGATATATAACAAATAGAAAATAAAAAAGTACATAATTATCCTCTATGTTCTCCCTTCTTCTTCTTCACTACGATAAAGAGTAGAGCCGACGGTCTCTATTCTAAAGATGGAGAAAGTTTAAAAAAAAAACAATAAAATGAATAAATTAATAAAGTAAAAGCAAGAGTTAGGGAAAATAAATGGAGAGATGGAAAGGGGAGAGGAGCAACGACATTGTTCTCGCTGCTCACGAAGCATAGTAGATGTGCTCCTTCGAAAACAAAAGCAATAATTTTGAGAGAAATTATGTAAAATCGCCGACCGTCGCTACTCTTGTTTCTCCTTATTGCTGATGACAAGAAGAAGGAAATCCGTTGCTGCAAAATCATCAGCTATCGTTGCTCTTGTTTCTTCTTGCTGCTAATGACAATAAGAAGGAAATTTGCCACTTCTCCTTGTTGCTCACCACCGTAGATGAAGCCCTTTTGAGGAAGGAAATCCGGACGACAGTCGCTAGTCGTCGTGATTCACCTTTGATCGACGTCGGTTGTGGCTACCATAGGTTGTCGGTCGCACCAATGGAGTATGAGAAAGGAAGGCTGGAACTTGGAAGGGTTAGAAGTTAGAACGAAAATGAACTTTCATTCTAACCCTAACTCGTAAGGGAGAATTTGGGATATGAATGGATTTTTTTTTAATCGGACGAAAATACATTTCGCTTACTCATGAACCGCTACCCGGGTCGAACGTTTAGCAGTTTGACCACCTGAGTCAGCGATTTTTTGACTTTTTCAATGGTTATTACTAAATAACAGTTTACAATAAAACTGGACCCGGGGGCTGAACAATTACCGATTTTTCTGATATGACCGTCCGGTCTAGTATGGTTTTGAAAACCATGAGATTGGTTAATAGCAGGGATCAATTTGACACTTTTTGAAAGTTTAGGTACTCTGATGACACATATGGAAGTTCGAATACTAACTTGAACTACCCCCAAAGCTCAGGGTACTAAAGTGGGATTTTCTATTTTCCCTTATTATTACTTTAATTAATATGTTATATTATTATTATAGTACTATTATTGTTAATAGTATTATGTTATTATAATACTATTATTTTATTAATAATTTACAACATTTTTGTTAATAGTTTATTAACATTTTATTATTTTATTATTAATATATTATTATTATCATCTTATATTCAACTAATAATATTTTATTTTTTATTAATATTAGGATTTAGGGGGTTTTTGCATGACTTCTTTATTTTTCGACTCCAGAATAGGAACCCCATTCCCTAGGGGTGCTTGAAATGGCCATTCTCCCATACGGGGGATTGGGGGCCATCTCCCAAGAATGAGAATCGGAATCTCGTTCCTGCCAAATAAATAGTTGGACCACTCCGATTTCGATTTTAGCACCTATTTCAAGAAACCAAACGGACCCTTAAGATTGAAGATATGACTTTTGACTTTCGAGGTTGAAAATCGGTTTGGGTTGGGAGCTGGGACTAGGGTTGAGGTGTCCGGTTCGACGTAAGCAAATACGGTTGGGCTAAGGTTGGTCTTAACCCGATCCATCCCCCGCTGGAGGTGCATTCTCAGACCCAGCCTTTCACTTGCCACCCCAGGGTTTAAGTTCGAAAGATGTTTCCGTGAGTAACATCTTTCGCTCAATTTCAGTCTGTTTGCAGAGGCCAATATCTTTCTTCTGGTAATCGTCGTGACTCGTGAGTTTCTCTCTCTATCCATCTCGTTCTCTGTCAAGCGATTCCATGGTTCAGAAACGAAAAGCGCTTTTTTTTTTAATCTTGCTAAGGGTTAGGGTTGTTTGGGCTTTTATTCCATTCGGATATTTTAGAAAAAAATTGTTTTGTAAGTCAGACTTCGATGTTTTTGCACTATCCTGCAGCTTTTGTTTGCAAATCGAATGAGAGGAACTTTCTTGATTATGAGCGTTTTTGCAGTTGCAGAATTTGTTTTGTGCCGATATATGTTTTTTGCTTCTCTTAGTTTGTTCCGATGGATTCGTTGAGCAGCCCCATTATGTACAAGTAATCACTTTTAGATTGTAACTTGGCGTTAGTTTTAGGATTAATTAGTTTGTTGGGTTTTCTGGTGAATGCATAATGAGTTTCCGTTGTTTGCATCGTGTTGGAGAAATGACTCCGTGAACTGGAAAACCAGCTTGGCTATTGAACCGTAGATTTCAAGGGAAGAGTCCTCTGGAATTTTGTAAACCAAGAGAAGCTGACTTACAAAACCACAACGTGCAAAAATCTGTCTTGTTCTGGAATCGTGTGGATGAGGGGATAGTATCTGCTTCGGGAGCCTGTCATTAGACTTAATTAGGAAACCATCTTCTTAATGTTGGAAGCTTACTTAGATGAGGGTTATTGCTTTCTTGAATCAGTTACATAGGTGTTGAATGTGGAATTGACTCTATTACTTAATACATTTACCTGAACTCAATTTTAATTAGTGCTTAATGTAAACATTGGACATGATTAATGATTTTTGCAGAAGATGTAATAGAGGGAACAAATAATTAGTAGGTAATTACCTTTTCTTCTGTTATCTTTATCCAAATAATAGGGGGAACAAATAGTGTTCCTTATCTTTGTTTTGTTTTTGCCTCCACATTTTTCGAGTGGTTCAGTTGATGGTGATGGGAGCCTATGTTATTTGGGTAACTTTCTGTTTTAGTAATTTGGATTAAGGGCATATTTAGTAACACCACTTGGTGTTTATTTTAGGGCCTGTTCGTTTGCTTTGAAGTCTGACATTTGAAAGTGCAATAATTACATTAAGAGGTATATTGGTATTGGTGAACTTTTTTTTTCCTTTGAACTCTGAATGCATAGAATGTTGTTATGAATTCTAAATTATAAAAATTATCAAACATCCATTTTGACCCCATATATGAGAATTTTTGTTTGTCTTTTTTGGGGTATCATTGGAAAACAAAAAGTTGTGTGATTGCACTTTAAGAGGTAAGAGATAAGAGGAAACGAACAACCATTTTTCTCTTAATGTTAAAAGATTCCTCTTAAGAGATAAGAGTTAAGAGGAAACAAACAGGCCCTTAGTAAAAAAAATGTGAGTATTCTATCAATTTGTGTTACCAAAGCATGAGTTAGCTAGTTAAGGGCCATATCAACTACATCAACTAGCCAGTCAATATCCATGATGTGATTGCATGGGGCTGCTAACTATCGGCTAGGTTGACTAGATTGATTAATAACTATCTAACTACTTTAAGAGCATAGAGTTGCAAATTGCCATAGACCCGGCTAAGTCTGTCCAGTCAATCTGGTCTAATAATTAACCGAGGAAATTATTAGAACATTCAAGAATAATCCCTTGGAGGGATAAATTATATATATATGGAGGTCCATGCCCCAAAGGGGGGGGATCCAGAACCTGAATCCTCATCTTCCCCTCTCTCTCTCTCTGAATTTCTCATAGATTCTCCTCTGCTCTGTCTGAGTTTCTCTCTCAAATCACTGACGTTCAACAGTGAACTACAGGTGGCCTGATCCCTCATCAGAGGGTACATAGCACAGCCTCTCCATAGGCTGGCCATTTTCCATCTTCCCCAACCCCTTTTCCTCAGACCTTAGGAGTTCTGACCATCTCAGCCTTCTCCACGCACCTTACATCTAGTCAACCAAAAAATTGTGTTAAGCTTTATTTGTTTATTTATGTCTCTAGTTCTAAAATAATACTGTATATGCCTTCTAGTTTATTGTACGCATACTAGTTGTTTTATTCATTTGTGGTGGCACACTGGTCTAGTGATTAGTATATACAATGTAAATATGAAATAAAAATAAAAGAAGGGTGGTGGAAGATGAGTTCTTTTCAGCACTCTTTCAATCAGATATGTACTGGTGTGGATTTCCACAAACAAGGGGGCAACACCAAGTAGTCAAGGTTCCCTCTTTCCTTAAAAATTAAATGACTACCTCTATCACAGCCTATCTAGCATTCTTTTTCCATGTTTGCAAAAGAACAATTATAAACTACGTGTTCATTGCCATTTTTTGGTTGTTCTATATCACTTTTTATTGCATATTTCTATATATTAACTTATATATGTGATTGCTTCAATATCTTAAGCTCAGAATGTTTCCTTTTGCTGTTAACTATTCGTGACTTGGCATGGGCGGAGCCAGAAGTTTTTTGTGAGGGGGGCCAAAACCTGAAGTGAAATGGGGGAGGGGGGAATAAGTATGGATGGGCCCATAGGGGGGGCAACCATTGGGGTGGAGAGTTTGGGGGGGGGGAATTTACATGGAAAGCTCTATTTCCAAGTGAAGAATTCTGGACCATTGGGGGAGCCATGGCTCCCCTGGGTCCCCCCTGGCTCTGCCCCTGTGACTAGGCACCAACTAGGGTTTAAGGAGGCTGGAGGTCAAAACATCTAGTCACTGCCTCACTACATTGACAAGATTACTATCAAATATCAATCTAGATGACTATCTGCAATTCAGAAACTAAATTAAAAGAATCCATAGGGCCTGTAGAAGGAAACTTCTTCTAATCTCTATGTTAGAATTTTCTTAGTTTCTTACTCTTTAATTGGCATGATTTGGTTTTGATGATTTTTGTATCATCTCATCTGTTCATCAAGTAATGATTTACTAACTAAAATGGGCTAGTTGATTGTAGTAATAGATCTGTCCTGTTATTCATCCAGGCCATAGTAGTCGATTTGAAATGGGAAGCAAAGGTCGTATCCCACCTCCTCATCTGAGAAGATCTCTTCCTGGCCCTGGCATGATGCATCCTGATCCATTTGGTCCCGGCATCCGCCCTCCACCTGGTGGCTTTCCTCCTTTTGATATGATGCCCCCTCCAGAAATCATGGAACAGAAGCTTGCTGGACAGCATGTGGAGATGCAGAGACTTGCAACAGAGAACCAAAGGCTTGCAGCTACTCATGCAACTTTGAGGCAAGAACTTGCTGCAGCACAGCAGGAATTGCAGAGATTGCAGGCCCATATAAGCGTCATGAAGACAGATAAAGAACAACAAATGAGCGGCCTCATGGATAAGATAGCCAAAATGGAAGTGGACCTGCAGGCTGCAGAACCTGTTAAAATGGAGTTGCAGCAGGCAAGAACTGAAGCCCAGACCTTAATTGCAGCAAGACAGGAGCTCATTTCAAAGGTGCAACAACTCACACAGGATCTCCAGAGGACACACTCAGATGTTCAACAGGTTCCTTCTCTAATATCAGAACTTGACAGCCTCAGGCAGGAATATCAACACTGCAGGTATTGGTTATTTCATCATTTATCTGTTTCTTCTTCCTTGTTCTTAGTTTGGTTTTGAAGATGCAGATGGCTGCTTGCATGCTGATCTTGCAGGGCTACTTATGATTATGAAAAGAAACTATACAATGATCACCTTGAGTCGCTACAGGTGATGGAGAAAAACTATGTTTCCATGGCCAGGGAGGTAGAAAAACTTCGAGCAGAACTGGCTAACACCACTAACCTTGAGAGAAGAACTGGTAATTGTCCATCAAGTCTCATACCTACTTTGAATTTTCTGATTCTCACATCCTAACTTTCATGAATGTGGTATGTGCAGCCAATCAGAATGCAGGTGGGCCATATAGTGGCACACCATATAGTGGCATGTCTGGATACATGGAAAATGAGGCAACAGGAAACCATACTGTTGGACAAAATGCTTATGAGGATGGATATAGTGTTCCTCAGGTATCATGTCTTCCTTATACTGGATTTTGCTGATTTTGATCATATCAGTCTCAACTGTTTATGTCATATTGGGGGACTTGGGAGAAAGATACTCCCTCCCAACCACCTTCCTTTGTGCCATGTTGAAAAGATTTTTTAACTGACTTGGATAAAAATATCATGAATCACTGCTGAGATTGTTGATTTAAGGATTTTCTTGCAATATTAAATGGCTGTTATCTTTAAACTATTTATTTTGATGTCTAAGATTTTCAGCATCATAGAAGCTCCTTAAAGATAGATATATTTATAATCTTCTACTTGTGAAAATGGTAAAGTTTTGTCTGATCTAAGTTTATCAGTGTGCTTTCACTACATGTCAAAATGGGGGGGGGGGCTACTTATTACATTATTCTGATGTCTAAAATTTTCAGCATCATAGAAGCTCCTCCTTAAAGATTGTTATAATCTTCTACTTGTGAAAATGGTATAGTTAAGTTTGGTGACATCTAAGTTTATCTGTGTGCTTGCACTACATGTCAAAATGGGGGTACTTGTTACATCTTTTGTGATAAGTGAAGAAACTAAATTAAATTCTGTAAAACATTATCCCATCTATTTAGGGTCAATTAAACAAATCTTTCTTTTTTCCCATTCTGCATTATCAAGGGCTATGCCCTTTGCAAAATATTATCCCATCTCCAAGCTCTGTGTTTAAAACTCCAATAAAATCTTAAATAGTGCTGGTCTTTGGAATAAAGTAAAGTTTTAATAACAACAACTATTTAATAATTTCTTCCCTTTCTTTAGGGTTGTGGAGTGCCTGTCCATAGCTCTAATTGGTCCTTTCATTATGCATTTTGCTTTTTGATTACAACACAATGCTGTTGCCCTTTTTTCTAAAAAAGAATAAGAAAGAAGGTGAAGTTTTAATGAGCTTGTATTTACGGCTGAGTACCTAATATTCTGGAAATATAACCGTATTGTAATTTGAACAGAAGGCTGAATTGAATCAAATCATGCTTCATATCATAAGCCATAAGATTATTTTTTGTTATTTTAAGACTTCTGTCAAACAATTAAAAACATATATACATTTTTGATAGATAATGATAATGAAAATTTTATTAAATAAAGAACCAAGTATTCATCATACAATTCCCCACAAAGAGGCGCGAGGTGCAGCCTCCAAACTACATCATAAAGCTTACAATTGGGCCCAAAAGAGCTGATTCCTATATACTCCTTGTTTTTTGATGAATAATA